CTTATAAGTGCAGCTGATTATTGTTTAAGCTTTACATGTTTGTTTCTTTATCTTATTTACCACGGTTGAAAATTTACCTTTATGTGCCATGTATATTTAATAGCTTGGCCATGAAGCTTTCGAGCGCACCAGTAATGGTGAAGGTCCCGGGTTTGATCCGTTTGGAGGTGGTGGGTTTAATCCTTTCCAGGACATCTTTAAAAATGCTGATGTAAGCATTTGTCTGTAGTTGATTTCATTTACTCTTTTACTCGTTTTTATAGCCTTTTGCTGTCTGAAAAGATTCTTATTATTCCATTGATGCCTAGAGTAGGATGAGATTTTCTTTTGAAGAATGCTTATTCGGAGGACATAATATATGTGAACTGAGATAAGGGAATAAAAATTTTGAATTTTTCTCTCCAGAAAGCCTTCATATGTTTATTAATGATACCAATTGATAAGCTTATGGAAGCCAACTAGAATGATGGGGATAGTCAAATTGCGTGAAGCTTTTGCTCTGAAGACAGAGAGAAGGAAAGTTTGATTATTCCTGTATAAACTTTTTCTTTTTCAATTTAAGGGATTTCATTCAAACCTTCTTTCTTATGTGGGCCTTAACTGGGCCTGGTGCTCTCTGTTAGTATTTTAATTCCCTAGCCAGCGAGATTCATTTCCACCGTCACTATAAGTGCCACATGACTTAGACCAAAAAAATACATCTAGTGATACTAAATCAGGTACACAAAGCTTTCCTACAACTTTAATCAAGTAACTATGCTTTAAATTACCTTTGATGTTTAAATTGTACCTAACACCATAGATAAATTGGTGGAGTGATGAAATAAACTGATATTGACATTTTGGTATGAGCATGCATACATCTGGATCATTTGGTAACTATTAGCTACACCATTGAATGATTTGAAGCACCTCATTTGTTAATGTTTGGATGTATTGGATTGTATCTCTCATTATTTTTTCTTCACTCTTATATAATAAATCGACTTAATCTTGAAAGATCTAATGTGTTATCTCTTGCATGTTTTGACCCATTCCACTTTTGGAGATCAGATTTTCAATATATTCAATCGGGACATGGGTGGTGAAGATGTCAAGGTCATGATTCTTCATCTAATGAACAGTTAATGAACTTGATTTTCTGTAATGTGTCTCACTAATAATTTGTGTCACTAATATTATTAATTGAGTGCAGGTTTCGATCGAGCTATCCTTTATGGAAGCTGTTCAGGGATGCACTAAAACACTGACAATCCAAACTGATTTGGCTTGTGATACTTGTGGTATAGCCACACCTCTTGTTTCATGACACCAAATAATTTGTAAAATGCTCTATCAAGGCAATGCCTTATTTACATATTGTCATTTTCATTTTTAAGTATGCTTGAACTGAACTTAGATTTCTATGTATGGAAAGTTTGTTTGCGTCTCTTCAATAATGCTTTCCCATAAGTTCTCTCTTTTTATTTTGTCGGCTCTATTAGGTGGAACTGGCGTTCCTCCTGGGACCAGGCCTGAAACATGTAAGCGTTGTAGGGGCTCTGGCATGGTAGGTTCCGTTCTATTGCCATTCCCGTGGTATTGGTGCATTTTACATTCATATTAATATTGGTTTTTGTCTCCCAGGTTATATCACAAAATGGACCATTCACCCTTCAGTCTACTTGTCCTAATTGTGGAGGAGCTGGAAAAATTGTATCGGTAGGACATATATCTACTTTTACCATGTAATATTTTTATTATCTTTCTAGATTTTCATCAATGGATAAAATAATATGCTTAATTTGAGCTGCCTCAACTGAAACGTGATACCAGACAGTTACTTGTGTTTTGTTTTCTTCCTCATGTCAATTGTTGGAAGATCTTTTCTATCTGTTGTGTGTGTTCATTTATTTATTTTGTTTGACAAGAAATTCTAACATTTTGATATAGGAATTGACCTCTAGGTTGGAACGATTTGTTCTATTCTTGAGGTATGAGGAAGCTTAGTTATCTTATAGTTCAGGGGCCTTTATCCATCTTTGGTTTCATTGCTTGTTTTTTCCTAACCTTTTTGTTGCAGTGACTTCTTTTCCCTCTTGATGGTTGTAATACTCTGTTTTTAAATGAATATATGTTCTCATCTACATAGTGATTGGTAGATGTCAGAAGATCATATCGTTAC